TTGTGAGTTGCAGGGTGATATGGCTGTTATGCAAGTACATCAGCTTGCATAACCATGGTACTTTTTTTTTTAAAGCTTGGGTTTTTCTTGTACAGCGTACAAATAATTGATCAAATACCTTCATTCAATTCTGCTCTCTTAGCCTTATAAGTAATTATAGTTTTTTTCCCCCCCACTTCCGTGTCAAGACAGGAGGGAGAAGCGCTGGTTTGGTGCGCTCAAGTATCACCCACTTACAGTATATCGGGAAAATGTTCAACTGCAGTAAAAGTGCATTTCTCACACTGAGGTGTGATTTTTCCCTCTCATCCCTTGTCTCAGTGTTGTGTGAAGGTTCTGGTTTTCAGGTAAGGAACACATTACATTACAGTGAGTGTGAGCCAGGTAATGGCCATATCCTCATAGTGAAGGGATCTATCCTGCTTTATTATGATTGTTAACATTCTCGTAGCGCAGGAAACTTTATTAGTATTATTGTGGCAAAGCGATTGCTGCTCCAGCTGTTCGCCGTCTGACGTCACTAGCATTTTTCAGAGAAAACCTTTTTTTTTCCAAGCCCTCCCGTGCAGCTGAGAAACGGGGGACAGCGCTCACCAAAAGAATCTTTGATTTATCTTTGCCTTCGGCAATTGCAGAGCTTCTAGAAGTTAGGACCATAACAGTGCAAAACCAAAATAATTGAGTAAAGAGATTGAGGTCACTCCTATAGCAACCCTCTAGAGCTTTCTACGGACTGTGATGAATCTGTTCAGATTTTTGTTGAAATAGCTTCATGACATCATACAGCAGTCCTTGAAGAATGCTGCAACAAATGCAGCTATATAAAGCAAACCTCATTAAAAGCAGAGTGGAATCAACATATTCGTACAACTGTTAATACAGACCCCAAACTTTTAACGAGCACCATTTTTGTCAACAATTTGAAAGCATAGGATTAACGTTCTTCTATTGCTGCCATAAATTTCTCAAGTCTTATTTTTTTCCTCTTAGTATGCTCTCAGTACTGCACTTAGGGGAATGTCATCTCCCTATTGCAGTAAGCTTTTAGGCTCTGCTGCTTCATAGTTTTGTCTTTCTGTAGGTTTGCAGACCACGATTGCTTTACAGTCGGGGGCCATCATAAATAAAAAATAAGAATTTTAGTAAACAGGTTCTGTTTACTACAATTTGTACTAGTTAAAATCTCGCACCTCATGTAAGCTGCCACATTACACCCCTACTCTTTTCGAGAAACGCCCTGGG